TAATCACTGCTCTCAGTGCCAATTAGCGATTATTCTGCTGTCCTGAACCAGAAGTTTAAGTCACTTCCACTGCTGCAGTATGCATGTATCTGACAGATGTGCTCAAATGAACCTACAAAACCACCCAATAGATTCAGCACTGTTTTATCGTCAAGTTATTAAGAAATAGTACAAATACAGTATAGTGAGAAAGTAGTGGTACAACAAAGAAATATTTTAAAGTGGGAGTCGTGAAAATCATCAGGTTTCATCTTTTTGGCTTAAAATTCATAATCCGAAATCGTTCTATCTATACAGGATGCGGGTCGACTTTTACTGAATACACAAATCACACTAAACAGCTGAATATGCTGTGCTACTGACCTTCACAAACTGACGCTGGGAAACTGAGATCTTTTGCAGAACAAATCCCAGCGGTGCTCACATTTTAGTGCTAAACACTGCCCAGAAAGCTACATTTTTTTTCCTGAGGATACTTCAGGGTGGTTTAGGATTCACAACTTTCCAGATGTTTTTCCTAAGTGGGCAACTGGCAGGAACGTCAACTTTTTAGTGAATCCATCTGCTGAATAACTCACACATCCAAAGAGGGTCACGCTCATTCATGCTGAAGTATCAATACGTGCTCAATCAGTTCATATTGTCCTCCCAAACACACACAAGTATAAAACGTGTGGCAGGATCTTTCCATGAAAATGTCTTTTGACTCACTGAATGTGTGCACGTGTCTTCAGCACATCGTGTGCCTCGCTTTTTTTCAAGCGTTTAAATAGGTTAAAGGAGTCACAAAATAAACACGCACAAAATAAAATGTGCATTGTGTGTGTGTGTTGTGTCATCTATTATTCATAATACCATGTTTTCTTTCTGAGGGACCAAAGACACCTCACAGCACAATATAGCTGGAGCTCTACACACCCTGAATAATCCTCCACACATCCCACCCCCTGTTCCTTTTCCTGCCCGCCGCCCCACCCCCTTCCTCATGCCCGTCGTCTTCGCATCACATCTCCTCTCCTCGATCTTCTCTTCCACCTCCTTTTAAATCCTTGTCTTTTCTCTTTCTCCTTTACCTCTTCTTATTTATAACGCTGCTTATCTTGTACGCCCTCTCTCCCCCATTTTTCTCTCTTCAGTTCAATTCAAGAAGCCATACTGGCACAATAAGCTCATCGCTGGAGCATCCGTATATACTGGACGAGAATGTCAGCCTGCCCTGAACAAGTGCTTTAATGCAATTTTTGAATAATCTCTGTGTTTCTTTCTATTCCTTGTAAAATCTATTTTTAACAGCCCTTCCACATCACTGTTTTCTCTTGTTCTCCCCATTTCCTTCTCCTTCCCATTATTTTCTTTTCCCTCCTCCTTTTTGTCTTCTCCCCTTACTGCATTGTTCACCTTGTCTTGCTCTTGTAGGACACTCATCTTACATCTTACCCCCCCCCCCCCCCCCCGCCCTGCCTCCACCACACACACACACAGCAGCTGGAAAGCCATGTGTAATGAGCGCAGGATCTACCAGCAATGTGTGGGAGAACCCAGGGTCATTTTGAGACATGTAAGTGCATGTGTGTCAGTTTTATTCAAATATAGTAATGAATGCATGGCCACGTCTAGCTACATCACTGCCACATGAGCTACCAGATATGACTTACTGGTTAAACTGAAGCTTGCCCGTCGGCCCACATAGAGGGAGCGTACACTGCATCTCCTCTACATTAAGGTTGTTATAACTACAGTGTGTGTGTTCTTCACTGTGCTGTTTTAGCCTTTGCAAATAAAATAAACTGAATGGTTGCTAGTGGGGACTTATAAATGCTGCTGCAAAATAGCCACATTAAGAAATGTTATGTACTGTATAAATCATACTCATTAATGCTGTTTGAACATGCAATCAGTTAAAATGTAAGGCGGAACCTGCTTTGTTTTTTATTATTTTTATATAGCCTATATCCGACTGTAGCCTATATGATACAGCATCCTCTGATCTTAGAGGCTGCAGTGTTTTCAGTTCGGCTATTTGTTGAACCCTCAGGTAAATTATTGTTCCAGTAAAGTGTATTCATTTCTAAAACGCGCTGCTGAACCAGCCTGTTCTCATGCTCAGGCATCACATATACACGCTTTGGAAAAGCCATGTCTATTGTACGCAAAACGGCAATTTTGCGTGTATAGTGGACGCCCCCAGGTACGTGTGTATGTGACGCATACAGGCCACGAGTGTATGTGACGTCCTGGTACTAGTACTTCCGGTGTTTTTGTTTAAGGAGTTGACAGCCCCCCACCGAGGCAACTTCCCTAACCTCAACCATGGCATTAGTTAGTGCCTAAACCTAAGTTAGTAAATATATGCATATTGTCTGATTTGACACGGCTTTTCCAAAGCGTGTATATGTGACGCATGAGATGCGATCGGGTTGGCTGAACAGGTTTCCCGTCACTTTTAAGGATGGGGTGCGGTGGTTGACAGTAATTGTAACAGAACGAGTAACGTGACTATTTACTTTTAATAGCCAGTAATAACTAAATTAATATTATTACTTAGAGTAATAAGTAAAAAGTAAGTAATTACAATTTCTGAGTAATTTGCCCTACACTGCAGCTACATATGCCGTATAAACAGATGTGCCGCGAAGACAGTGCTGCTTTCTGCCCCCTAGTTGTGCGCACATCTAGGTGATGACTTGCACAGAAACCCATCTATTGCTTTACTGCTGCAAAGAGATCTTGATGTAAACATGGTGTATTTCCTCAGGTAGCCACACATGACTCAAACAGGATACCAAACAAACAAACACTATAACAAAACAAACGCTGTATTGGAGCGACACACTCTTGATAGTCACCGTCAATTACAGTTTCAGATGGGATCAACTTTTAAGTGTCTCTAAAAATGTTGGAATGAAATGAATACATTTGTCCTTGGCATGACAACCATATTGATTGTAACAAAGCAGATGACAGTAATCAAATGTCCTTTCTAAATGTGTTCCCATTGTCGCCTCATCCCTCTGGTATAACCAAATATGTAATTATTTTGTGATGATGAGTTAGATATTGTAAATCGCTACTGGAGAAAATCTATTTATTCCACCACGACACCTACCCACCAGCCAATGAGCTTGTCACACAGTTGAAAAAAAAAGCAGCATATGATCTTTTTACGTGATTGTAAACCTATAATAGACAAGTTGTAATGGCACAGTCTATCGTAGCCAGCTCTTACCACCCACTCTTGGAGGAATTTGTTTTCTTCTCCCCTCTGGGCGTAGATACAGGTTCCCCAGGGTAAAAACCAATAGGTTTAATTTTTCCTTTGCACCTACGGCAATAAATGCCCTAAATTTGCACTGAGGCTGAGCTGCTGACTGCACTGCTCGGAAGGAATTCATGGTGGTGAAGATACCATCTCCACCATTTGAGTACTTTGGAACAAACAATTATTTATATATTTTAAATGTCCTATGGCTCATGTATACGGTAATTGCTTGATTTCTGTTTTTAGCCCTCTATTGTAAATCAAATTTCCCTTCAGGGACAATAAAGATTGAATTAAACAACTGCAACTAGAGTCTAAGACTAAGAAGATAGACCACTATTCTATTTCAACTTTGAAACACAACTGAGATTACTTTATGATGCGCACTGTTTTATTTCTATTTTTATACCATGCTTTTAGTTTTTGTATTTGTCTTGTGTGTGTGTGTGTGTGTGTGTGTAAATGCAGAAGATGACTCAATCACCACCAACAATGGAAAGAAGAAATGTTTGTTTGTGTAAACAGCTTCTGGTGCCTGACAGCTGTAATCATACTCATACTGTCCACACACGCATATGTAGTTACACACAGTCATAGGTGTATCATAAGAGATAAGTATGATAGAAGTGCCCTTGATAGCCACTCTGGCTCATGTGTATGCAGGACCACAAAAACTGACTGCATGATTCATTGTTATTTTTACTGAATGAACAATAAACTCTTTGTTATTGAAATGTAAATTAAAACTAGTGACAGTTGTCTTTGCAACATGTCACTTACCAGGGAAAATAGTGTCTTTGTTTTACTGTCTAGTCAAAACACGGCAGAAATTGCTGTTATATCACAGCTTTATCTGTCCCCTGAATGTTACAGGGATTATATTAGTATAATAGGATGTTGTGCATGAGTCCTCTGGTGACATGTCCACATGGTGACAGATCAAAAACAAACAAATCAAAATGATAAAAACAATAGGTTATGAATGGAATCTTCTTTCTTACTCTTAATGTTTGTAGGTTATATTTGCTTGGAAAAAGAGGTAATATGGAGACTTATGGGAAACATCATCCCATCATATTTTCTCCATTGTTCTTTTTCTACCTTTTAACTTTCTCATTCAAAAAATATCCTCTCACAGTTCGTTTATGTGGGTGTGTGTCAGGCCGAATAAATTATCTATCTCAAATTGAAATGCACTTGAAATTGTCAAGTGAAGTAAAGTTATAGTGAGAATAGAAAATCAATTAAATGTGCATACAGCTATTCAACGCCACTGCATCCGATTTTGTGTTACAGAGATGTAATGCAATTAAGGGAAACATATTCATGCAGGATGATAGTAATAGATGCTAATTATATTCAGTGGTAATTACTATATATGTAGCCCGAAAAGCAAGTAAATAACTTTGTTCCATTACTTAAAATAAGTCCGAATTGTCACAATCCTGTCTGTGTGTCTTGTTGGGGAGTCTGGATTTTGGTTCCATGTCTTGTTCCTAGTCCTGTGCCTTCTCCTGTTCATGTCTTAGTATTTACTTCTAGTTCTTTGTCTTCATTATTTTAGTTTAGTCTGCTCTGTATTCTGTGTTCTAGTTCTTTGTTCTCGTTTAGGTTTTGTCTGTTATGATCCCTGTGTTTTTCTGTTTACATGGGTTTCTGTTATTGTCTGAAGTTAGATTCTTGTCTGATATTTTGTAACATGTGTTCTGTCTGTTCCCCCAGTAATCTGCCTGCCTGTCTCGTTAGTCCTGATTCCTCTCACCTGTGTTTCTCCCTCGTGCTCGTTAGTCCCTGGTGTTAAATGTTTGCTGTTTCTGTTCAGTCTCTGTCCTGTCATTGCAATGTGTTGTGGTTACTGTTTGTCTTGCCTGCCTGCCTGCCTGCCTGCCTGCTTCCAGCCTGAACCCTGCCTGTACTTCATTTGTTCTGTGGATTAAGGATCACACCCGTTTGGATTTTCTGTTCGTTTTTGGTTTATTTTGGTTTACATTGGACTCAGCTACTCACGTGTAAGTGTGCTCGCTTTTAGTTTGCTTTAATAATCATTGAACTGAACCTGTCAGCCTTGAGTCCTGCATTTGGGTCCCCCAACCTGCTCATCGCTACAAATCTGTAACACGAATAGATACAGTGCAGTTGTAGAATCACAAGTCTTGATTAGCAAATTATTTGATTTTGCAATTTAAGTCTAATAGAGTGCATTATAAACGGTACTTGATATATTTACCTGTTGAAACTAGGCTTGGGCGGTATCAAGGTATCAAAAGTATACCCGTGTATTTAGAAATGCAAAGGTATGACTTTCAGTACCATAAAAAATACAGACTTTCCTTGTTCTGTTAAACTGTCACACAGATGCTTTATTGTTGCGCAACGTAGGCGGGCGCCGCCCCATTGACCTGCCAAACATCATTTTTCAATTCAGTTTTATTTATAAACACTATGCCGCTCTCTCTCCCCAGCTACACATACACACTACGCTCACAAAAGGAGCGACATGTCGGTGACAGCGAGTGGTGGGGATAACGTTACAGGACTTTAAAAAAAAAAAATTAAAAAGGGAGCCCCTGTTTGGAAGTGTTTTGGGTTTAACCCCGATGATAATGGTGAGACAGCCAACCAAGATGAAGCTGTGCGTACATCACCTCCGTTGATCCCACTTTTGTGTTGGTATCCACAGCGGCAACAAGTTTCATTGGGTCCTCCAGCAAGACTCTATGGTAGAAGTGCACTTATTTCTATATTCATTATCCTATGGACCATAAGTTTTTAAACCCAACAAGACTTGTGTAAGTAGGCTGATTTCATATTAGACACACCATTGTAGGCTAGACAATGTCATACATGCTACAATGACTTCACCAGAAGCTCAGCTTTTACATTCATATTTTGCACAAATACCATATATACCCTGAAATGTTTGAGGTATGAAAAAATAGATATCACCCAAGCCTAGAAACATAACACAGCAAGGGATGAGTCAAAAGTGTAAATAGCTACTGTTAAGACTAAACTACTACTGTGCTGCTATTGTTTACACCCTCATTCAAGTAGGGCTACTTAACAGAATATGCTATTAATTACCTCTCATACATCTTCATTTTGACAGTGAAATCTTCATTTTGACGGTGAAAATCTCTCTAGCTTGGGGAGTTCTCCAATTAGGGTGCATCAGACAACAGCCTCTGTCGGTGACTTACAAGATATTGCTGACCCCCATTGCACAGGCAAAGTCCACCCCTGAGGCGGTGGCATTAGCTCATAACCACATCTGCTCTCACCTCTCCCAGCATTTTATATTTTCCCTTAGTATTTGATTATTGCCTCAGATGGGCAGGAGGAAAACAAGAGACACCTGATTGACAGAGAGGGGGAGAGAGAGAGATGGAGTGGGAGATAAGGAGTGACTCAGACGCTAAAAGAGCAAGAAACAAACAGGAGCGGGTGTGCCTGTCCTGTCACCTGTTGTGATATTGTCAGTGGAGAGTAGTAACGAAGCAGATCGTTTGTCCAAGGTGGCTCTCTAATTGTCGAGCCGACAGCAATTAGATGTCAGCCGTTAAAGCGCGGCCCTCATTACAGACCACTCGCGGCAGCAGGAGATGCTGCAAAGTGTGAGTGTGTCTTGAACTATGGGGCAGGACCCGAAATTGGTGGACAGCCAAAGTGACTGCCTGTGGGTTACCATATGTCACACTAATTAATGAGCCCGGGTCTTGGAGGTGACAGAACTTCTCATTTGGCTGCTTGTTTGGTTAGGTTAATGGGCTAATCAGAAGATTACTCACCTGTTTAACTGGGCCTGGAGAGAGGTGAGAGAGGCTGGTAAAGGTCCACAAGGTCTTCACAAGTCCCATCCAGCGGAAAGCAGTAGATATTGAAGCAGGGCAGTAGAATACACAGACTAGACCATTAGATGCGATCTTTAGTCTAGTCTGCATCAGTTCACTGCACAGTCTGAGTCCTTTACCAGTGTTCAACTCCAGTTCAGGTACCACAAGTTTATTCAGGTCTGTCTGGGTTAAACCAGTTCAGTTCAGGTTTCCTTACATACCGTATGTGCTTTCCAGAAACAGACCTCTGAATGAGAGATAACAGGGTCCAGTCAAGTTTAAGATCCAGCTCTCAGCCCAGCTAGGATCAGCTCAACTTAGTTCAGTTTGGCAGGATCACATTATTCCACATGGGATAATAAAGTTGAGCCACTTTGAGCCAGGTGTGTGGTGCCAAGTCCCATATGTTTAGTTGTAGAAACAGTGAGCCATTATTGTTTGGGTGTTTATGTTCATATCCAAAGAATCCCATCCAGACAGTGTGATTATCTATGCATCCAACTCTGACTGTTTAGCCATTTAATTTGTCTGTCTGTTGTTACCATCCACTCTGTATCTGTCCGTACATGTTGATGCTGCTCCAGATGGTGAGAAGTTCATTCACATTTTCTGTCCATTTTTATGTTGAGACCTATTTATATGCCTCTTATGTTGCTTTTTAAATTATCCACACCCCCCACTTCGTCCACGTCCACGTTGATACAGATGTTTGTAAGTGGAAAATTGAGCAATCAGTGTGTGCCGTTCCATTAAGTGATTAAGATGATCACATCGACAGCTTGATCCTGCAGCAACTGGCCAATCAACAGCCAAACAGACACCGGTGCCTTGACAAGGTCATCCAATCCAGATGTGAGAACCAAGATAAGCAGTTAAAAGTAAACCAGACAGTACAGGTCTATAACACCATGATATACATGGCAACAAAGTAATGGGTACAGTAAACAGGAGATACAGGAGAGGAGTCATAGGGCCTTTTTTCTTCACCAGCTTCTCCCTGGTTGTGTCGTTCATTCTTCACATCTGCCACTCAGAACAACAATATCAGGGTTCTAGAAAACAAAAGAGCAAGAACAGCAAGGTTTGAAAGTAGAACATTAAAAAGTTGTTCTAAAAGGGTTTATTTAGAACAAGAGGGTTAAAAAGAATCAAAAAATCAAGGATCAGGAGTAGAACATCAGGTTTTGACAAAAGGATAGAAAACCAAGGCTCTGGGAACAAAATATTTAAAATAGCAGGGGTCTAGAAGACAATTTGGCACTTCTGAGATCTGGAATATGGTGATTTAGATTATTAGGAATGGCAATGGCTTCAACATGTGTTTGGAAAACACAACTGAACTTAAAGTGGCTTTAACTTCTGTTGTTCAGTGTCCCAAGTTCAGCTAGGCGCATTCCCACCCCCATGCCTGGTTTATAAAATGATCTGAGGGAGCTGTTTCATTTGTTTCATAAGTTCAGACATGACTAAATAGTTTAAGAGAAGCAAAAAACAGAGACAACTTTAGAATTTTTTTGAGTATATTGTGAGATGCATATTTTGAAACGGGGAAATAAAAGTTCAAGGTCATGTTTTTTTCTTGATTTTGTGGTAACATCAGACTGGTCTTAAAGCCAAACAAATGAAAAGTACGCGACTCACAATTCAGTATGTTTTGACTTGTGTAGTCAGGTTTCTTTTAGGTTAAACAAAGTCAATGACAGGTCTGCCTTCATATCTAAATGCCACTGAAAGCATGGAGTTGTGTGTGTGTATATTTGCAGCTAAGAGAAAAGATGTTCTCAAGTAAGACTTGTGGTAAAATATCCATGGAGAAAATGTAACTCTTAACTTTTTAATGTCTAAGAATTTAATTTTTTTTGTGAGAGCTATGTGAGGATGCAACTGCTTTGGGAGGTATAACAAATGCCTGCATAAAAGAGGCCTGCTGACAAGGGAAAGCAAAGTGCGATATCTTGGAGAGTGATGAACCTGTACTTGCTATGGTAGTACATTGCCACAGCTGTTATTTGTAATGTGTATGTTTGTCAGGAGAGCATTTCTTAACTGTTTTTGTCAGGAGGAATATTTCTTAGCTGCATTTATATACAGCCAATGTTTGTTATGTCAAGTTTAAGAATGAAGCAGAGTCTTCTTAATGCCTCAGTCTGTTTTCATTCATCATGACCACTGCACATCTCCACTGTCTTCTCCTCCATCAGCTACCACTCCTCCCACCTCTTCTGCTTCATCACTCTTTGTACCATGCAGATGGATGAAGGAGACAGGGTAATACAAAGAGGAGAGAGGAGAAGGCAATGCACAAAGACCATAACGTAGAGTGAGTGGGGACGATATGGATAGAAAGACAAAATAAAATAAAAATAACTACAGAGAAAAAGGTATCATAGAAAATAGACAGGGAAAGGAGATGGGATTAAAAATTAACAGTGTTTGTTAAAAGAGCATTAGAGAAAAATGGAGATGAAGGGAGGGTAGGGAAGGGAGAGAAAAGTAATGGGTGAACAACTGTTAAGTTAAATGAGAAGGAAACCAAGAAGAAGGGCAAACTAAAGAGAAAATCAGAAATATACAAAGACATCAATAGAGATAGAAAGAGGGGGACCAGGAAAAGGAAAAAGAGAGGGAAAAGACAAGTAAAAGAGATTGCTAATGAGAATGGAATTAAGGGATCAGTTCACCTACATTGCAAAATATATCACTAACTTCCATTAGTGATATCTAGCCATGCAGATGGGTTTAATTTGCTCGGATTTGGAAATACTTGGGATTCCTGCCTCAACCCAAAGAAAAAAAAATCTAGAAATTCAACATCAGTTTGTGATGTCCCTCCGGTTAAACATTTTTCATAAGAATTTTTTCTTTAGTAATGTCAATGAAAATGTTCACCACGAGGGACAATGCTGCCACAATGATTTTTTTATTCATCATCAATTAATAACTTCATCTGCATTTCTCAGAGCCCAAAGTGACACATTCAGATTGCTTGTTTTATGTGACTAAGAGTCCAAAACCAATTTAAATTGAGGAAATGAATACCATTTTTGCTCAGACAGAAATGATTTGATTAAATTTGCGTCAGCTAAACAATTAATCAAATAATTGTTACAGAAATGTTGCTGTTGAAAATGTTTAACCTATTTTTTCTATGCTGTCACAGATCCGTTTGGCTTCACTGTATTAGGATGGAGGTGAGAATCGCAAGGATGGATATGTCAAAACCTCAACACACACAATCCCTTGAGGAAAGTAACAAATTATGAGTTTTGTTATTTGTTTGAACTGAGCTGACCAGATAACAAGAAACCCCCAAAAGAAAGGGTCAGATGACAGCATGCTACATAGGGTTGAGGCTGCAGTAGGGACAAACGTGAGAGAAAGGGAACACTGGGTGAGAGAAAGGGAGAAGCTATAGGTAGACTATAGGAATAAAATCCAGGGAGTGCTCAAGTTTTAAGTGCCAGTCATTACTCTTTGTGTGTAGTGCTGGTGCGCTCCCTTTGTGAGACAGAGACCTTCAGATCTTAAAGTCTCTCCATTCGACACTATGAGGCCGCCTGTCGTCTGCTGCTGGAGGCGTGAGAGAGAGAGAGAGAGAGAATAAGAAACAGAAAAATACTGACATAGATGCAGCAAAACAGCGCTGAAAAATGGGGGAGAGGGAGGAAGCAAAGATGTCAGGACAGTCAGAAAGCTGGTAAAGAGAAGAGGGAACGTGACAGAGAGAGCTTGAGAAAGTGGAAGGGGGGCGAGAGAGAGGGAGATTCCGAGAGATGAATTCCAAGAGACAGACGGCGGTGAAGAATGAGGCCGGGCATACGGGATGACACTGAAAGGAGTGATGATAGATTAAAATACACGGAGGACAGACAGGCTACAGGGTCATGGATGGGCTATGGAGAGAACACACACTTGCACTTCACACAGAGTCACACACATCCTTGTGTTATCCTCGACTATTTTCCTATCTGTCCTAACCTTGTGGGAGTATTTGCACTGGCTCAAGGCAGTTAAACCTTGTACATAACACACACATGCATATACAGACCTCCAGGGATTTGGTAGCTGACTGAGCTTACAGATACATACACACACACACACACACTCAAAACACTTTTTTTTCCTCACTGTGAGGACATTGCATTGACATACAATCTTTACCTCTAGGTGTGCCCTAAAATTAACCTAAATGTAAATCTTAACCCCTTGAAATGAATAGTTTACCTTGTGGGGGCATGCTTTTTGTCCCTGCAATGTGATAACACATTACACACACACACACACACACACACACACACACACAGTTTTCTTGAACTAATAGCACTTTAACATAATCATAATACGTTTGTGTCAAGCATATAATTGCTGCTAATCTGGGGAGAAAATTACTTAGCATTCAGGGTTAAGAGCTACTTCTGAATCCACATTCAGCATCCTGTCACAAGCTCCAAAGGTGACTATGGGTGCCAACATGTTCTCTCTCCTGTGGATTTGTTTATTGATGTATTTTCTAACTAAGAGAGGTCTTCAGATTTATTCAACTCTGTGTTAATACAATATTCACATACCCATACGCACAAGCTACTGCTGTATTCGTGGCTGATTCCCACCTAGTTCCACAGTCCTCCTTCCGTGAAGAAATGCATTAAAGCGTGCAGTAGAAACACAAAGACATAACGTCCTACTAAAACCACTGTAACTCTGGAAGACACCCACTTGATTTGTCTAACTTAGTTTGCTGAAAACTCATATGGACTTCAGTTAGAGAATGGTGACTTCGGTCCAGGAAGGTATCACTGTAGCATATTATTACAGAAACTCTGTCAGTGCAACTCTCTCGTGTTAAGATAGACTTGAAAACAACAACATATATGAGGGTAAATGTCTTAACATTTAACTGTAAGAAGACTTCTTTTAACTCCCAAAAAAAGAATCCAAGAAGCATTTTTAAAAGTAATATTAACAATGGCATTTAAACTACAAAAATAACAAATTCAAAATGATGTATCCAGCTCATACATATGAATGAGAACAAAACAGGTTTTGAAAAGCAAACAAACGAAAGGAAAACTATCACACACAGTGCACCTATTTTTTCGTGTTGGATCAAATTTTTGACAACCGTGGGCCTTTAATGGGGTCTCTCTGTGTATCTGTCAGTTGCTCTGTTCCTCAGGCGCTCTGACTCACTGCGGCTCGCTCTCTGATCAGATCAATGTTGCCTTTCTCTGCAATGCAGCAACCAGTGAAACACATCACAGACACAGCTACACCCTGAGAAAGCCCCAACAGCCTTTGTACAAACACACAAGTATTATCCCCCATTGTAGGTTGCCCTCAAAGTGCCAACGAACCTGGAATCAAACAGAGGAAACAAAGAACACAAAGGCCAGCTGTAACTTTTTTTCCTCCTGGGTAAAGTGTCAAAATAAAAAACTATTTGTCTGTCTTGTTGTAGTCTGGGATGCTCTTTCGATGCTCCTTTGATTGACACACTTCAGTGAGTTACGGCTGAGATAAGGTTGGAGCTGTTAATTAGACCTGTAGGGGAAATGTTCGAGTTTGTGTATTTTGATTTTGGTTCCCTCACTGCGACAACAAAGTCCAATTTCAGCAAGTTCTTCATCCCTGTTTACAAAATGTTAGCTTGTTACAGCCCTAATGAGTACTCCTCTCCTTTCTAACGCCAGTTTGGCCATCAACCTCTCAGAACACTTGCTGAACTACATTTGCACAAACTTCCCTTTATATAGCTTCAGAGGTAAATGAAACAACTAGAAAACAACTTGCTTTACTTTCTCTATGTCTCAAGCCAGAGCAGCCTGTAGCGTAGTACGCCACTTAATGCCATCAAAAATCTTTGCAACTCTTCTTTCATACAATAATTGTAAATTGTGATTTGAGTAATGCCCAGCACTTTGAATTGTGTGATATATGTCAGACTGACTACAGATCTAACAAAGTTCATGAAGGTGGGAACTTTCCCTGAACTTGCTGGCTAAGCTGCTGCGCTCTGCACAGATCTCTCGTCTCCTCCCTGCTATCAACGTGAGGCTCAGTGACACTTCATTTCAAACCGTTCAGGCAGGCCAATTGAATGACATATCAGCTGCTGATAACATATTTCGACTGAGCTATTTAAGCCACTCATGTGAAATGGTGTCTCCATTTATTCGTTCTAATGAAACCCCAATTTCCTGAGTGGATTAGTGTTAAAGGGGAAGAGTACTGTAGTGGGCTTAGCACAGGGAGTATCTACCCGGGAAAAAAAAAAATCACACACTCTTGAGGATTCCTTTTATCAGTGCACTGTTGAGCATTTCAAGCAATCGTGAGCATGTGCAAGATTTTTCAAAAGTTTGAACTGAGAGAACTGGGGCCTGATGACATAACAAGTTGGTTTTAAAGCCTTTGCTGTCACTGGCTGTGTAACATAAAAGCTATATGCCATCAGTATCTTGCATGTTAAGGAAGAAGTATATATTATAATATTACAATTGTGCTGCATTGTCATGTTTTTTTACATTACTTGAATTATACTGGGATCTTAGGATTGGGCAATAAAACAAAAATTATAATTATCATGATATAATTTTCCTCAAGAACAATATAGCAAATGTTCAATTTTACTTAATTGTACTCATGCATATTTTATTTTATCATAATTGTTTTGAATCTTCTCCCTCACATTTGTTAAGTGATCCACTGTTTGGCAAGTGTTTGTGTTTGAATATAAAGAAAAGTTTAAACCCACAATTAACCATCTGTTTTTTTTAAATATAACTGAGGAGCAAAAATCAGCCTTTAAACTTAAAAATAATGATTTGACATTTATCGTGATAATTATAGATATTGAATGTGACTGACTGCACAATTACTAAGGGACGGGACACGTCCTTACCAATATCCTGCAACTACTGAAGTGTCCGTAGCAATGTCCCCTGGCTCATATACCTCACAGTTGTTTGGTCTGCTGCCTACCTTTATGACATGAAATATCTGCCATTGGCAATGACAATCCTAAATTAATTATTACAATTTTTGTAGGAAAAAACGGCCAACATCTTTCTGACAGTTACTCTCTGTCAGTAAGCCAGCAGCCACTTGTGTTGAAAACAGTGTATTCAAGCTGGCACAAGAGGTTGATCCATGAGCAAATAAGAGAGGCAAGAGATCAAAAGACACTGAATGGAAGCCTAAGCCTCAGGTAGTAGTAATAGTTCTGAAGCTGGAAATTAACCAATTTCAGTGCAGCAAATTAGGTTGTGACTGAGCTCAACTGTAGCTGGTCGTTTACACTCACTGGGGCATCTTCAGAAATTAGTTTTTAGTAACAGTGCAGACCTTGGTTTTCTAATTTCTAGGAGGCAAGTTCTCATCAGAAATCTTTGTTAATCTGTCCACGGTCATCCAGCCTTCTTTTGGTGAGGACTTCATAACATATAAAAATGTTTTCTGAGGCATTTTATTGATAAGAACTTTGTAAAATAAACATTGTATAAATAAAGTGTACTGACAGCACTTGGCTTTTGCTGAGTGCTTGTGCTGCTTACTGCCATTACTTGTTTGCCTCTTACCCCCAACACATTGCTTTTACTGATTGTGTTGATTTCTTCCTCCACTATCACAGCCTTCTCTTCACTTTATCATACCGCAGTATATACATTAATAATAGTTGTGACTGCATCAGTTGTCTTGTGAATTATGTATAGTATATTCCTGCTAAATTATATGTGTCTGCTATTTTGTTACCCCTTGGAGGGCTTCAATTACTAGCTAAATCTAAATCAAGTTGTTTGGATTTATATAGAGAGCACCCCAGGGGGCAGAATTTGAATTGTAAGTGTGAACAACTGTATAAACATGTACTGTAGTATAGTTTAAACATTATGAAGAGAGCGCCTGAACAGCTGCCAAGCCCCTCCAGAGACTTTCCAGGGTTCTTTCCACTGTGAAACAAGTTTTTGTTGTTTGTTTTTTGGACCAAGGGAGACATAAAAGAAATAAAAAGATATCCAGGTTTTAACGAATGCAAAAGAAATTTAAGATTTCAACTTCTTCAAGAAATTTTAACTTTTCATAAAGGGGAAATGAGGGTCTTTGGATGTCTTCCAATCTGGTATTGCATGTCAGCCAACCTTCGAGTAACTTTCCCTTTCCACTCGTAAGTGCTCTGGTTTTGTCATTCCTAATGGCAAACAAGCCTTCTCAGGGTGCATAAGTGTAATAGTTTGTAGCACCCTAATGGAGGACACACAAGAAATGCATTATGAAACCCCTCTCTCCTCTAACACCAACCCACAAAGATTTATTTTGCTGCTGACACAGTCATAACTATGTATTTAATCTGGTTTAATCTGGTGTATTGGCACCAGGGTTACAGCCAGGAACAACTCCCTTGGGCAAACAAAATAAACTCAATAGATTATTAAACTTCTTCTCAGCTTTGAAGCCTTTGTGTTGGCATGTACCATCTTCCATTGTTCAGAAATGAAGCCTGGTAATTGGCAAGAGCAGAAAACACAAATCAATGAGCTTGGAGGATGTAAGGTTTGGGTTAATTCCTCTAGAATGTAGGGAGGTTAATTGAAGATTTTTTTTTGTTTCATGTGAAAAAACTAAACAAAACAACATTTCTTATACAGAATGAGAGGAGCTATAATCTGATTTGTCAGCAGTTATAGAGAAGAAAGTTAACTACTTCGGCTCTGCACACAGAAAGTTGAACACGTGTCTCACCCTCTGTCTCTCTTACTATCTTCCCAGTGCATGAGAATGGCATCTCTCTTATTCATTCTCTTGTTCACACTTACTCAGTTTATCACTTTTCCACTCTCCGTTATTATCTTGCTCAATTTCACACCCTTAATAGCACATTGTTTATTTCTCATTCTCCATGTCTTTCTGTTTATTTGTATTTTTTCTTCTCCCTTCCTCTTACTCCCCCTAATCCCACCGTCAACTTCGTTTTGTCTTTTTTTCCCACCTCTTTTAAATGCTTCTTCTGTGCTCTGCTGCTTGCCTCCTCTTTGTCTATCTCTTCCCCCCTATCTGTCTCTCTACTACCTGCCAGTTCCTTGGGGGAGGTGGGTTCTTTGGCGACAGATGGCGGTCTGCTTTTCATCTCAATGGCGACCCTGGAGGAGAAGCGGGCCTTGGTGGGCGAGAGCAACTCCTCATTGGCCAAGGAGTCAGTCCTTGTCATTATGTTCCGTCCACTGCTCTCCTCTTCGACCAATGCCACAGTGTCTCTCAGAGTGTTGCTAGGCGACATGGCCCTGGATGGCGCTAGCGCTTGGTTATCCTGATTGTCAGGCATTTTTGAGGCAGAACGAGGAAGGACTTGGATCTGCCCACCTCCTCCTTGTCCATTGCTTTGCGGCCTTGCTGCTGTAGCCGCAATGCCTGCTTTTCCGTGGCCTGCCCCTTGGTTGCTGTAAACCTTGTATCGTATCATTAAGATGATAATAAAAACCAGCACAGAGGCAACAATAATTCCTCCAATGATGATGATCATAGTACCACCCAGGAAGTGACTGTGCAGTGCTTGGCACTGACTGAACTCCGTGTCTGTGGTGAATGATAGACAGCCCAAAGGACGTGTTGCAGTCAGTGAAGTGATGACATCATCAAACACAGCCAGGACACAAAGATCGTAGTTGCGTCCAGCAGCGAGGTCCCGAACCAGGAAGTCATTGCTGCTGGATGGAATCATCCTGGCAAAACAAAGACAAAAGAAACAAGGATATTAGTGTCAAATTAACTTTAAACAAATGAATTAATGTCAATCAGAACAAACCTAATTTTGTGCGCCCGTAAGTTTTGAGTTAGTTCCTAATAGTTTCCAAGAAGTTTTTCGGAAATATAATTTGGTATTTATTCATCTGAACATGGAAAAATGTAAAATTTGTCCACAGGCAAGCATACATTCAATGAATATGGAGAAATAGTTTTCAACAAAATAAATGACAGATGACTGAATGAACATTTCCTTGGGTTTAAAAGGAGCTTTTCTTCCATGAAACTTCCATTTTTCCATAAAATGTGTACCAAATTACACAGTCCTTTACAGGAAACATCTTAGAAAATTACAAGGAAATTCGGCAACTGTAAAATAAACCATTACCAAATAATACCAAATATACAATATATCAGTTTTTAATCAGACATAAAAGGACAATTGCAACACACATTTAGTGAGATACACACACATGAATGCCTGAACACCTGTGTAAATGTATCTGGACAGCCAAATTTCAGGATAACAGTTAATTTAAATAGTTGGTTCAACCAAATTACAAATAAAAAATAAATCAGGTTTTGAGATGAAGAAGAGAGAAGAGATAAATGAGAAAATATTAAATTGGCCTTTTAACCATTTGGACAGCAAAAGACTACTCTGCAGTGCAATGTGTATTACAGTGCAACTCTTATTTGACCCATTTTCTTTTGAGGTACTTCATCAACATTTTTGAAAGACAAACAGATATAGGCCAGTGAGTATGCAAATAAAACACCAGATTTACTTAAATACTAAGACAAACTGTCTTCAAGAGTAACACAATGATGAAAAGCAGTGTTTTAGTGCCTTCTCTGTTTGAACGTTTCAGGACTGTTTCACCTCTGACCACACCCAGCATCATTTGAGTTCACATGTACTTCACTGCAGTGAGGTGAGAAGCTAAATCATAGAGGTCAGAAATATTTCACCGGGGATATTATTTTTTAAAAATGCCTTAAAGGGAGCTCCGCTCCCTAAATTTCAGATCTCTGAGGTTTCTCCAGCATTAAAACACCTTCCCCTTGCCTAGTCATACTGTAACTTTCTTCTCTGTTTACACTCTTCCGACCTTTTCCTCTTTTCCTCCTCGCTGTTTATCAGCCATCTCTCACTCTTCATAGTGCCTGGTGTCCAGCACGTTCAAATGTGTAGAACTCTCTCTCCCACTTCCCCCCATCACTCATGTGTTGCTGACTGGCTGGAACAATATTGTGTGGCAAGGTCCACACCACTATCTATAGAATACACAAAACAAAGAGCTAGCGAACTGTGATGAAATATCCGCTGAATTTAACAAAAACATGTATGGGATTACAAATACACTTGGGGGGGGGCTCTCACAGAGTCCAGATTGATTAACAACTGGCATACAGCCAAATCAGAGTGCCAAAATACGTGCACTGACACTGAACACGAACCTGCTCTGTCCAACTCTGTTTGTCCAGACAACACTAAACTGTATGAATCATACAAACTATGCAGTGTCATATAACAAAAAAGGCCTTTCCCAAAATGACTTATGATTGCATCTGCTTGTATTGCTTTCTTGTATTCTGTTGTGTGCTATTATATGAAAGCTGCAATGGCAACACATGCACTATCATCATATATTTCCATGCACCGCTAGCCTGTGGCACAACAGCCACCTCATCGTTCTTATTTCCCTACAGAGTTAGAATTCATAAGCCTGACAAACTCACACCCAGATCCATCCCCCAAAGCTGCATCATTCTCTGATTAAACACGTTCCCGATTCTTACCATTGTCAGTCTATCTCGGTCTTTCCCAAGGTAAACACTGCGGCTCTGGTTTTTCCTTGCCAGTGTACTATCCTGGGGGAAATCCAGTAGGAAAACATCACCCAAGGAAAACTAGAGCAATGCTTTTTCTGTGCTACCCTTAGTTTTACTTTCTCTCTCCTTGTCTCTCTGTCTTCTCTAGGGGTCTTCAGTTTAACTAGTGGAACTGTAAACACCCATATGCCATAGCTAAAATTAATCTAAATCATATTTTCCTTCTGCTTCATTCACATTTTCCCAAAAGTACTTTAAGTCTTTCTGCCCATCCCTCCCCCATAAATGTATTTCCACCTCTGCACTGAGACAGGCTTTGCAGTATATTTGAGAGTGAAATAGAACCGATGGGAGAATGTGTGTGTGTGTGTGTGTGTGTGTGTGTTTGTGTTTGTGAGAGCCAGTGGGCAGCAGGGTCTAGTCTCAGTGCCAAGCTCATCGATGGCATTGAACCTCCACCAGGAAGTATATCTTGGCAGATAGCTCTGTGTGTGTTTTTGTGTGTGTGTGTGACCTTGTGTTGCTGTCTGGTGTGAAAGGATCCCTGGACTGAGTTCTTAATAGGAATCAAACCAGGAAACTTTAACTGCCTTGATGTCTTGCAGAAGGGTAACAGCATGATTTGAGAGGTGGGGTTCCCGTAAGCAATTCCATTTATATACACACCTTATTAATCTTAAAAAAACTATAGAGTGGAAGGTCTCCAAAACATGTTTGAACAAATGACAGTGTGGCAGTGTCCTTCAGTGAAATCCACAAAGCACATGTGGGCTTCTAATCCTGCAGTCTGACACACTGCTCTCCATTTTGAGTGTGACTTATTGCTTAAACTTACACCATATGATAGTTTGTTTGTGAAAACATGAGCTGTGATTGTCATGATGCAAAGTGAGGTGTGTAAAGGAGTCCAAATAAACGGACTCATGACACATTATGTAAAAGTTGTGTTATAATTAAATTGTCATGGAAACAGATGAACCTTGAACATTGTCCATCTCTTTTCACAATGTGCATATATGCTGTTATTAATTAAGGACAACTAAGGATTTTTAAAGAGACAGATATTCTTTTAAAGTCGGTTTGAATGTTTATTTAGCATGTAATCGCAAAACATCACGATTTGGTGTAAGTTTTTGAAAGTTAAGTAAGTACTAATGATCGGATGCCACTGTCATCAAAAGCGAGAATCCAACAGAGAAAGTATGAAGTATTATTTTTCTACTACCGAGATGAACTAGCGATGGAGCTCAAGTGTGTAATGCAGTATATTCTAAGGCAATCCTGGGCATTTTCCACTTTGTTGTGATTTGTTGTCATTTGGTCTCCTTTCAGTGAACTCTATGTCATGTTGATTTGATTTGTTTTATTCTATTTCATAATGACCAGACTAAAATGAACAAAATATGACATCCGTCCTTCTCTGGGCACACAAACAAACACAAAGTAAACTAAGTATGTGACCTTATTTAAAGGGATAGTTCAGGTTTTTTTAAGTGGGGCTGTATGAGGTACTCCATATTCAGTGTATTACCTGCAGTAGGCGGCGGTTTAGAGAATCAGACAGGAGTACCAGTGCCTACTGCTGTGTTACTTCCATATTGCTACGCTTGACGCACACTGTATTATGCCGCAGATCAGATGTTTGGGTCAGCATTTCAACGTTTTAAGGAAGAGACAACAAATACAAGAAAACAAAAATGAGCGATTATGACAGAAATGATAAAATGCCAGTGAATGAATGGGCCAAAAGAGAGAGACGGAAAAGTGCTGTGGAGAGACTGGTGGTTTGGTAAGTAATTTCATTTATTTGTAGGTGTTTAGCGCTATCTTACCTAAAGGTTGGGTACAGCAGTGCTCTTCAGCAAGTGTCAAAAATGGTCACTGCAAACACGGAGTTGTCTCAGTGTTGCACATGGTGTATTGTTTACGGTTGAAAAAATATAGTGCCAAAGGAAATGGCTGTCTGACGGCAAGGTTAAGCTGTGAAAATATTCTAAATATAGCTTACAACTAAGCTGATAATAATGCTTGCTTTGCTTCTGTGACGACCAACATCTACTAAGTAATACACTGACTATGGATAAGTACCTCTTTAAGGGAAACCGCTGAGAAATGATATGCATATTAATTCAAACTGCAATAACAAAGTGTTAATTGCATAAATAAGACAGTGGATCTGGGTAAAGCCATGGCTAGTAAAATGCAGTTACAGAAGACGAAGCACACAAAGAGCCCAATGTGAGGGTTAGCTGATGATTCATTTGCATGTAATATAACACAGGGGTTCCCTAAAACAATATTTTCAACAAGTACCTCACCTCTTCACCTTGCTCACATTGGCTAGGGGTATCCACACTTGGCATGAATATGTAAACCTCACACGCCACTGGACTTGATCAGTTAACCAGATTGGGTGAGACTGAATCAGTGAAACCCCTTCACGCTACCCAGATAATTTTTGCCAACCATCAGTGTTGCCTCCAAATACAATTTCTCCTGCAACTGTCAAGACGGGCAAATCTGGTGGGAATCAGCTTGAAAGTCCTCCCGGTCTGTCTCCCTGCCTATTTATGCTGTGTTCGTAATACGAATCAAACCAGGAAACTTCCACTGCCCCGAGGCTTTGCTAAAAGGCAGCTGAACATGAACTGAGTGGTTGGGATGAGGTGGAGGAAATTCTAATGGGGGATGTTATTAAAACATAACATATCACAACCATATGCTTTATTAGACTTTTTCAATGAGTAGCATTTAATGCTTTAATGCCGACTCCTACATTCGTAGATGCTTTTTCCCTTTTTTTCTTATTTCCCCCAGAATTCATTCAAACAGACTCAGTTACAGAACAAATTTGTAGAGGTTGAAGATTTAATGTCTACACAAGATTGAACCTGGTCCTTCCACTGAAACGGTGGATTTTTTATTTTTCCCCCCTACAGTGTTGCCAGATGTACAAAAAAGATCACAGCCACTTCGATTATATCTAATGAAATCAGCATATGGTATTTTATTCGCTCATTGGCCAGCATCTGTTTGTGTGTTGTACATCCACATTTATACAGATATGTGAGGACTGAACCAGTCAATTATTAGCTGTGGCTGTTTTGGAGTCCTATGCAAGTGTGTCATGACTTTAGAAAAA